AAAAAAAAAAAATGCTCCCAAAATTATCTACTTAATGAGGTTTATCCTTCAGCTTGGGTCCATTGTTCTTGGCCACTCATTCCCATAACGTCGACCAAAATTTTTCCCCTAAAACTCGGTGAGTCGGCGATATGGGAATGAACCTTTGAGAATATTGAAAGTCCTGAAGATTAAACTGTTAGATTTCCTAAATGAGAATGCACAGTGAAAGTCAATTTTTGGATCTGGAACTTGTCCCCAAGTGCTATTTATCTTATTGGTCATCTTGGAGGAGAGGCTCGTCGACAAAAGTCCAAGGCTTCGCTAATTCAAGAGTTCAAGTATGACTGACATGAAACTTTACACGTTTGTTCCATGGACAATTGCGCATAGATTGATGAACTTCTATAATGCGCTCGTGTTTATTTCGTTAACTGTGGTGAACTAATAAATTTATTTTTTTATTTGGTTGAGTACCGCAGTGCTAACCTTGGACTAGAGGTAAATATATTTTTATACAGTTGAATACTGTAATACGTATCACATACTTGTGTAATAATCTTGTGAGTTGACTCATGTAATATTTGGAATAAACTTTTCCTGTCAATATGTTATTATATTTCCAATAACAGTTCAAGTCCGGAATTTTTCTTTAATCACGGTAATTTTCCCGACTTGCTGCACAGAACATGATATAGGTGAATTTGTTGTCATTTGTACAACACAGCCATATATCTTATATCAATTATATACGTACAATAGATATTATGTTATTGATTCCATTTATATTTTAATATTGTTTACTGCACCTTTTTTATATGGGTTAGACAGACCTAGTATTATAGGCTACAAATTGTTCAATTATTTTTAATTGAAAAGAGTAAAGGTTGTTAAGGCTATTACTGTGTGTTTTATTTGTCTTTTTTATACCTTTCAAATGTCACAACTTTTTTTTATCAGTCTTGTTTTATGTAGTTTTGTCCTCAATTTCCATGGTAACAGTGGATTTTATCCGGGCATTTATTATGAGAGAGAGAGAGAGAGAGAGAGAGAGAGAGAGGGGGGTAACGCCCACTCGACACAAACTATGTCATTTCGGGACTAACATATGGTTCAGTTTTAGCAGGGGTCTTTAGCAGTGGGAGGAAACCAGAGGACCCCGGAAAAACCCCACGAGGTTGGACAGGCGACCCTACTCCTTGTCACGTACAACCCGGGAATCGTAACCACGCCAGTTGAATCAATGACAGACCTTATGATACAGCGCGCACGTGCTAACCATTCGCCCCCCCCCCCACATTTATTATGAAGATAATTTATATAAAGAAATTACGAACCCACGATTTATGAGCTCATAATGATATGTGTTGTTAATAATTATAACACAACGTTAATAATATAGTATCTTAGATATTTATTGTCATCCGCCTTCTCTGACCTACTGAACAGTTATGAAATTAGCTTCAACCTTTGTTACGTCAAATAAACATAAATTTGATTAAAAGGGTACCAAGTATGTTATAGTTTAAATTTTGATGTCGATGTCATAGTTCTGAAAAGTGTAAAGTCTCAAAAATTGTCGGATTTAGTTTTTGAGATATGAGAGAAAACCTATTCCCATCTTCATAACGCAGTTAGAACACTGTGGAAGTTAGTGTTCGGGAATTTTTCATAGAGATCACCCCCTCCCCCCGCCAATGTGATTGGTGATCCTATGAAAAAAAAGCTATTTAGGTCATAAGTGGCACTTACAACCTTTCAGAACTATGGCATCGATGTATTTGATGTAGATTTGATCTTTGTGTTCTTACTCATCTTCACAATTTTATGAATCTTTGATGGCTTGCAATGTCCATGTTTTTGTCCTGTCTACGGTTATGTCTTCCGGTTATGTGTGATATCCCTACTGTGGAAACAGACCTTAAAAACCAGTCAGACAGTGCGGTTCTCCCGAATTACCATAATATTCTGTATTCTTAATACTCTGTATGCACTTTCTCAATCTGATGGCCTATACTGCAGGAAGATCTAACCAGCTGTAGTTGGAGGTCGCGTCAGGGGTCAAACGAGCGGGTTTTGACCCTATGACATCAGACATTTGATTAACCAATGGGGTTAATGGGGTTTAACGTCCACTCGACACAAATCAGGTCATTTCGGGACTAACATAGGGTTCAATTTTATTTCAACAATTCGCTTGCGCGTAGGTGTCTTTAGCAGTGGGGGGAAACCAGAGGATCCCGAAAAAACCCCACGAGGTTGGACAGGCGGGCCTACTCTTTGTCACGTACAACCGGGGAATCGAAACCAAGCCAGTTGACAGACCTTATGATACAACGCACACGCGCTAACCATTTGGCCATCCAATCCCCCACACCCCTTGAACTCTAAACAAACGAAACGAAATAGGATCTGCGTTTTAATCAGATTGACCTTTTCTTGCAATGTGAACATAAGCACGGTATTACAAGATGCACCATTATTATTACATCCATTTCATACGGGCACCTTTTATAAACGTTGATTGTTCACTATTTTCAGATTTCTGATAACGGGATCTGGTGTGGTTTATACACCTAAATTCCGCATTTATAAGTACTAACTACACACGTGTTATCGACGTCATATCATGTGACGTCAGACGTAGAGCTATACTGGGTATGAACATAAAGGTCAGTCATCGTGTACAGTTAAAGGCATTACCACTGTGAAATAGTTTGTAATGTTGCTAGAATGTTATCAGGGTTCATTTATTATATAATATTAAACTTTATATCTCGTTAAACTACATACATTGCTATCTTGTTAAACATAAATCCGCTTCATTTAAATGTTTCCTCAACGAAATCTGATCTCCACATATAAATAGATCGTGCCCATTATGTCCAACCAGGAAGTTCTTTTAAATGTCGGGCATTTATTGTTTATCATGAGCCTCCTGCAACATGAAATGTGGTAATGGTCGGGGGACTTCTATAGGACTACTATTCCATCGTTAGGCCCATTAGATATGAATTTTCATACTGTTCATTTCCTAGCTTTGTTGTAATAAAACTTCAGTTGAAAGTGTTTCGCTTAATATATTAGAATTTTTATTCTATTTATTTCAAGGGCTAGATTTATACCGTTGGGCTGTAAATGTGATAATAAATCCTCGAAGCACTGACATAGAAACTATTCATTTGTTATCTATCTTCTATTTTACTGAAATTTCCGGGGTTATAGGTCTCGGTTTCTAATTATGTAATAGTGCACCTAAAATGGGCCAGGACGATTACCCAATACCACCCAAAACCATCCCAATATCACCACATAGGCTATTACCCAATACTACAACATAATGATGCAAAATAGGCATATTACTTGAATTTTTTTCAAAAATAGCGAGTTATATCGCAGGAAATGTGCTGCAAATGCGATTACAGATGTCTCGCAGACTAAAATGTATTCATTAAATCGTGAAATAGTTTTTAGGGAGTTTACTCGTTCCAATACACCTTATATTACTTAGCCATGGGAACGGCGGTTATTTGGAAGCATCCCCTATTTAATATCTTTTAGAACACATGATCTTATTGAGACATCAAACAATGTTGGTACAAACTGAATACAGGAAGCGTTGTACAAAATCCCACACTGTTTCTATTTATATACAGTTTAAGAAAGTGGTATATAAATCAGTTAAATCTCAGAATATTATCTGAATCATGTTTATTGCTTTTTATCTACTAAACCCATAGCATTATTTAATTCTAGCCAATAACCACAGTTGACCTTTATGTGTGCACAAACCTAATCTGATTTTCCCAGAAACATAACAGGTGGACATGTGTCTTTAACCGACGTTTTACATATGAGGCTGACCATTGCAGTTAAGAAGGCATGATGCACTATATTATATGTGTGGTGGTTCAACAAGTAACCAATGATGAAAAATAGGTGAATACGAGAAATTGGGTTTCATGTTGCATGTCGTCTACTAAAAAGTGTATATGTGACAATACCGTCACAAGGCCCTCAAAAGACTATCGCATGTGACACCACATACCCTCCTTTGTGTTGGAATCCAATCCCTCATGTGCCACTGTGATGTCATTTTGTCAGTCTGGGGCACAATCCTGCGTCCCAACTCCGAAAAGAGGTATGTGACACTACGCTACACGAGCGACAGCAACTTGGGTAAAGGCAACGACCTGTGTCACAGCATCACTTCAAATCGTTATAAGATCAAGATCAAAAGTAGGATAAAAGCAAAACTATCTTTATACAATAATTTCTACAACTTCTACAACTAAAACACAGTAACTATTTTATAGGATTTAACGTTTAAAACTTTTAAGCCCAATATTTCTACAATAGCTATTATCGCTCAACCAACTGCCGGGAAAAACGCGCTGGTCTAAGTTATATAAACAAATAAATAGCCAGCATTTAAATACGTAAAATAATTAGATTAAAGCTTGGCTATAATTGTAAGCGTTTAATAAATCCTGGATCGTACAGTGTAGTTACATCAGCTGTCTTTTAGCATTGTGGTCATCTGTAATCTATCGCATTGAACGTTACCTTTAACTCGACGTCTACCAAATAAGGTAACATTTTGCTGCTCTTTAAAAAGAAACCAGATGACTAAATTCTGTACAGAAATAGCCGAAGGAAGGAACAGTGGGTAACTCATTCTAAGAAAGTTGTAGAAGCTAGCAAATTTAGCATCCCCAAGGTATCGGTCACCGCGGCATAATATCACACGAAATATTGTACTTCACTCTAAAATGTAAATTACCCCACCCAACACTGCAAAAAAATGTTCTCAGAGATATTTTTTCCAGCTGGCATAAGTAGAAGCTGTAGTTGTTACCCATAGACATGTGTCTTATTATGTCTCAATACAAGTGGGGTAATTAGCGTGTCAGGGGTTGTTTTTGTATCCTAACTTACTATATAAAACATTGCCTTTTGGGTCAATGTCCGAGAGATACATCTATACATGGTAAAGCAAACACAAACAACCAAGCAACGAAAATCTTGCCCTTGTTGAAGGATACCTTCTTTATTCTTAGAAAATGATCAGTAAAATCAACATTCCATACATTTAAAGCGATGATTCATTGAAATAAATCATTATCGTTTCAATCCGAACTTAGAATATCTTGCACTATCATGTCCGTTGAAGAAGGAAATCCAAGGATAGCGAGGAAGATGACAAATTGTTTGAAATAATCAGTGTTATTATTTGCTTCACTCGATTCCCAGAGAAGATGAGAGATAGAAAATGAAAAATCATACTACATAAAACTGAAATTGTAACTAAGCTAATTATAGTATCTTTTTGTAATTCAAAGGTACCCATAGAACTTCGCTATTATTCGCTATTCATGTCCGGTGAATCAAAATCATGGGGAAGATAATATTAGATTTGACTGTTATTGCCTAATAGTTGAAGGGAGACAACAGCATGATGTGTCGCGCATTCTGATCTAACGAGGTACCGTAAGCAAGGTCATATTTTTTCACTATAATGTTCCTTTACATTGTACAGGCGTTCACAGGGCACGCGACCGTTTAGCAGCAAACAGTTGCCCAGTAAAATTGACTGGGGTTCGAAAGTTTTTCAACAAGGATTCAATAGGACGGTTCCTGAACGTACAGGACGAGTGTAATGAGACCTACGTTCAGAGCTGAACTACTTTCAATCGATATCCGACTGCGTCTGTTTTTGGGCTCGCCTACAGCTTTGCGAGCATTGTAGTAGTGAGCGGTCACATCATGGATCAACTGCAGTGCACGTAGGTTGTGCGTGTAAATATCTGAATTTGTCGCATCATAGAAATTATTTCATTTGTGCAGACTTCTATAGGCTTACAAGTAGGACTAGGCTATTCCTATAATATATATAGGTGTAACTTCAGCTAATGTTGTAACCGCAAGGGTTTCTTCATTGAATGGTTTGATCATTTTAAATAAAAAGTTGGACTTCTGGTGACAGTATATTTAGGCCTACCATCAGTCAGCCAGCCAATCAAAGTTCTTTTACTAAGTACCTTTTTTGTCTAGTAGACACGGTAACTTGTTAGGCCAATGAAAATAACCAACAAATAATTTGTATTTTATGCAACAGTGGTTAATGAGCTGGTATTGCTCCGTCTTCATTATCCAGGTGGCAGCATTAACCATTACTTAAGCAATATCCAAAAGTCCATCGATACACCGATTAGTAGATGGAAAAACTAGTTTCGATGAAATTGACATTAGTCAAAATCCCTAAAGATATAAATATATATACATGCTCAAATCTCTTAACAGAACCCTTTTTGAAAACATTTCTATTATATGACTGATAGGACGTCTCATCAATACTATGAAAATGAAATTAAGCGGGAAAATATTTTAGAATATTTGAAATGTACCAGGTTTAACAAAGTTGATAAGAAGCTTTAACATAATATGAATAAGCTTATATAACTAAGGAATATTAATAAGTACGTTAAATAAGAGAATACGTAGACTCTGTCCGAAATATTGTTGCCACACGCTACACAGCAAACATCAACAAATTTGGAACAATCAGCGCCATGGTTAACCACTACAGCACATTCTTCTGGGAAAAGATCTGGTCCTGAACATCCTGTTAAAACAAAATTAAATCTATACTTCCATCTGTAGGAACTGTAGTCGATTAAATATTTATAATTAATGTACAATGTAAGTTGAGGGAGCTGCATTCCATGATTATAATGTAGCTATGTGACTTGAATATACTATAGCTACATGACATAAAGATAATATAGCTACTTGACATGAAAATGGTATAACTATTTTTCCGTAACGTGTTATAGCTTCTTCTCATGAACGTACCATAGCTTCTTTTAATGAATATTATACTGTAACTATTTTGTTCATGACCTATATAGCGATCTGTGATGCAGATACAATTAGTTGAGCGGCTAACCATACAAAAATGTTCACTTCTTGAGTAAAGCAAGAACCTTTGCACAGGGGTACTATGACTACTAAGGATCATCTTGAATTTCAAAATTGTCACCGAAATAACTTATTTTTGTTCAAATTATACTGCATTTCGGACAGGATATCGACCTTTTTAAATTTGATGTTTTACATTATTTAATTTAGTGGACTACGCTTCCGGCGAACCTCACACGTTTGTGTCCGCCGTTCACTATGAGGGAACACCATAGCGCTCGAGATGAGCTTTAGTGTGATCGATCACTCCAACTGGGAGACTAGTCACTCACTCGCCTTGCATTAGCCTGGTATCCGGTTTTAAAAAAGTTTTTGCGATTTCAACGTAGGCAAAGGTGTGGATGGGAGATGAGAGAATAGAAAAAAACAAGAAGCTGAAATGCTGAAAAAAGCGGCTAAAACTATGCCGAAAATCACGATATTTTTCGCCGGCTGGGACAGGGTCACTACTCAGTCGATGAAAACACGAATGATATCATCGAGAATAATGAGTCGCCGACCGACCATGGGGAAATGATTTCTGAAAGTGATGACAGCTTATTTTTCGACGGCTGGGACAGGGTCACTACTCAGTCGATGAAAACACGAATGATATCATCGAGAATAATGAGTCGCCGACCGACCATGGGGGAGTGATTTCTGAAAGTGATGATAACAGCTTAGCTGACTAAGATGAAAATGAAGGTGGGTATGGGCATATACCTAGTGACAAAAAAAGAGTAGGCGTTAGAAATGCCTATCCTTTTGATGTGGGTCTATTCCCATCACATATAAGTGATGAAATGAGGGAGTACTTTACTAAAAGTGAAAAAATTACAGCTTGTCAGAATATAACAAGTGCCCTAACCACTTCTAAGAAGATAGTAGGAAAAGAAAAGTATGGACGTAAAATAACAATGGAATTTTTCTATCGGAAACTCGTCAATGGTGAAATGGTAGAACGAAAATGGTTGTGTTACTCTCTTTCTGGGCATGGAGATGGAGCTGGCAGCAGATTATACTGCTCTATTTGCAAGTTGTTTGGTAACAGTTGATCGTCGTTGGGTCTTATGGATCTATTGTCAGAATACGATCCTTTTCTATGTTATCGAAAACCACATTTGAGGAGTTTATCGAACTATTCGGCGAACGTGTGAAAAAAGAAATTGTGAAAGAAGTACAGAAATCTAAGTATTAGCCATTTACAGCGGATTCGACACCATACATTACATATAGACCAACTTGCTATCGTTCTTCGGTACACGACATGTGATGGTCCAATCGAGAGATTTCTCACGTTTATACCGATCAGGAATCATACAGGAGCGTATTGGTTCAAAGAGAACCAGATTGGCACATCAGACTGCCGTGGACAGTCTTATGATTGATAATGCGGCAAACAGGTCGGGACAATATAATGGCATGCAAGCTCACGTAAAGAGGGTCAATGTACTCGTTGATTTCGTACCATGTTGTGCGCACTTGTTAAATCTTGTCGGACAAAGTGCAGCAGACTGTGTTGAATACGCTGGCCGATTCTTTATGTTTGTACAAGGGTTGTATACTTGTATGACAAACTCGACTCACCGGTGGAATCTTCTCACTGATGAATAAAAACTAATAAAGGCGCATACTCTGAAAAGACTTTCCGATACTAGATGGTCAGCCCACAGTGATACTGTGCGTCTGGGCTACGAGAAAATCCGATATATTTTATTAGTCTCACTTTCGGAAAGTCCGACTGAGAAACAAGATACCCAGGCAACGGCAGCTGGCTTTGCGAAAGACATGGCTAAGTTGGAAAAGGGTCTGATGACTGTAATCTGGAACTCTGTCCTATCGACCACGAACAAAACCGGCAAAATATTGCAAACCTCCACGTTAGGGCTAAATAGTGCTGTGACACATTTACAGGCCTTACTAAATTACATCAAAGAATTGTGAACGAGCCAAGATCAGTTCGAAATGAAGGCAAAGGAGCTAACTAGTTGTAACGAATACTGCGAAGAAAAGACACCTAAACGAAAACGTAATAAACTGTGGGATGACAGTAGTGGTCCTTAAGCTAATTTAAACCCTTCTGAATCGTTTAGAATCACGCACGCAGTTTATACCCATTTGTGATAAGCTACATGCGTCACTGTCTGAACGGATCGAAAAATACAAGGTTCTAGTGGAAAGGTTCGGAATTCTAGCTAGTTTGAGAAATGGTTCTCAAACTAGGGATAAAGTAATATCGTCTGTTGAGCAACTAGCTAGAAAATATCCGAATGATATCGACATAAATTCCGCCCCAGAGGAATTCTGCCATTTCCGTATGTTAATGAAAACCTTCCCAGTGAATCAACATAGTAAACTAAGTGTAAAAAATGAAATGCTTACACTTATTCACAAAAACAGCTTAGCTCTCAGAATTTATCTCAGTATGGTGGTTTCCAATACTTCGGCCGGAGGTCTTTTTCACGTCTAAACTTAACAGAAGTTCAATAGGGCAAATGAGCTTGAATTATTTGTATTTAATGGTAATGAACGCTGATATCGTTCGCAAAATAGACAGTGATGAACTTATAGACATTTTCTTGAGCGATAAAAATAGAAAGCTGTCACCCGTTAGGGTTTGAAAGTTTTTGAAAGTGAATTCAGATGTTTGAAAAGTCAATTCAGATGTGTGAAAGTGAATTAGATGTGTGAAAGTCAATTCAGATGTGTGAAAGTGAATTACAGAATATATTTCTCTTATTTTAAGCAATAATAAATTACGTTTGTTTTCATTTTATCCAGCAATTGGCGGAACATCAATTGATTCTCACTGGCCGACTGACATGGTAATGTTTGACTAAGTTGTAGTGCTTGACATTATTCCATCAGTATATCCTCGGAAATTTCGTTTCTCTTACAGCGGTTATAGTTTTACTACGGCAAATCAGTTCCGCAAAGGGCCCAGCTGGTCGAGCTGTCTATGGCCCATCCAGGGTCTTAATTAGCTCAGAGCAAGGAGATGGGCGGGAAGTGTTCTCAGGAGTGTTTTATAATTGACGGACACTGTATATCTAGGGTTTTTTATGGTTGACAATTTTTTCACAGGGGGGGGGGGGATTTTTCATGATCCTTGGGTATCATTTTACCCATGTGCAAAGTTACATGCTTTACTCAAGAAGTGAATTTCACACTTTTATATAAAATAACAGATGACCAAACCTTGTAATTGCTACATTACGATTTGTTTCAGTGAAATAAATTGATATAAGCTCTAGGTGGAGGGGACGTAATCCCTAATTTGACTTATCTGGGTGACCACAACTTCGATTTTCTGTGAGCTAAACTATAAGAATTTACAGTCAAGCATGGACAATGTAAACCCAGCATAAACTAAATATTACCTTGTCTTTGGTTTGTTTCAGATAGGACTGTAGTTTGCTGGCCAGTTGTCCTTGTTATTGCAGGTTTGATTGTTGATGATTTCGAAATTTCCGGAGTGCTTGTTGGGGGGGTTGTTGTCAGCTCGGTAGTTGCTGTCGGAATGGTTGTTGTTGGGTTGGTTGTTGATAGTTTAGTAGTCGTAGTTGGTGTGGTTGTTGGTGTGGCTGTAGTTAATTTGGTAGTTGTTTTAGGAGTGGTTGTTGTTGAGGCAGAAGTTGGTTTGATGGTGGTTGTTAGTTTCGTAGTTGTTGTTGGAGAAGTTGTTAGTTTTGTGGTTGTTGACGGAGTTGTTGTTGTTAGTTTTGTAGTTGGAATGATTGTTGTCGAAGATGTTGTTGGTACGAAACATGTTGCACAACATACTGCTTCATACGACGCATCATCATCGTCATAAAAAGTACGATTTCTTCCACATAAAAAGGAGAAACAGTTTTCCTCATGATCTCCAAATTCGCAATCTGAAAATAATTTGTAAAGAATTCAACGACGATATAACAGTCATAACCGGTTTTAAAAGTCTCCGAAAACCGAAAATTATGATTTATAATCAAGAGTTTTCGAATTACTTCTAACCAAGTCATACGTCTGGACATAATATACAGTAAACTCGTCTTTATCTTTTCAAAGCGAATTATTACAATAAAAAAGCATATAACATGTATTGCATCATACATGCTATTTCTAATGGAAACTTTAGTTACATGGATGTTAATTAGCATACGATGTCATGTTAGCTTTGTAGCTATTCCGGTTGATGCTGGTTGATGTAACGTTATTGTAGTAAATCTGTTTTGAGTTCGCTAAATTTACAAAGATTATAAGTTAGCAAATAATAGCAAAATATCAATTAATGGGCAGTATGACTATCCGTGTAGTAATGCTCTTCTTTGTGTGTCTCGTCTTATTATCGCTTACACATCAGTTATTTGCAGAGTTGGAAGCCAGGGTGGCTCAGTGAGTGAAACATCGGCTCGCTAACCTGAAGACGCGTGTTCAATTCCGATGTTGGCCGAGAAGAAAATTCATCGGGATTTTCCGGCGTGGTCATCCATTGTCAGTGGTTTGGTAGGTTTAAACATAGTTTATTGTACCAGAACATAAATACAGTACAAACGAATTACGACAAAAGTTACGAAAACTTACCGATGCCCTCTCCACATAGGATATATTTGACAGTTAAAATAGTACAATTGTTAAGAACAAAAACAAATGAACGATATAAATAGTTAAAAATCACATTATTGTAAAATTCTGAAATATTTGATTATGAAAGTATTTTTTTCTTTTACATATTCAAAGAATTTCACTTAAGGATTTAGTGTCTTCTTTTGAACTTCAATATGAGAATACAAGGTTACGAATAAATATAAATAAAAAATCGAACTCGAAAGTTGCAAGAGGAAGATCTCACAATGCAATAGTATTATGAACACAAAAAAATCAAATAAACTTATTTACTGTGGTGCAAAACGAAAAAAAAACTACAAATACTTATCCAATGAACCTTTTAGTTGATTTTATATATTTTTGTACTTGATTAAAGATATTAATGTTACTGTGCGTATTTAAACTAGAATCGCCCCAAAGAAGTGTATTTATGATGCTGATGCTCCGTAAAGAATCGAAAAGTTCCTTTCTTTCATTATCAAACAAATTACATTCCATAAAATAGTGCTGTGCAAGGGCGGACCCAGAGACCACGGAAGAGGGGGGAGGGCACGGCAAGGCGAAGTCGCACAGGAGGCGAAGTCGCGCGTTGCTTGTGCCGAAGGCGCGAAGCGCTCAATAGGGGGTCCACAAGAAAATTTAGGTTTTTCAATTAAGTTTATCCGAGACATATCTGAGTTGACGGAACTATTCCCATGACGACGTTTTGTGTGTAAAATACTCAATTTTCTATTATCGCTCGCATAATAATTCGTGGCTTTTATTGTCATGAATCTCTCAGACAAATTATTTTTAAACGTTTTGATATTTTCTAGTTTCTTTGTTGATGAATCCAATAATTTCCAGTCTTGAATTGTTGATGGAAAGAACGAATTTTTATATAAGTGGTGCAGGGCGGAGGGCCTGGCAAGGGACAAGGTACAAAGTATAATCATTCGAATGGGACGCTGAAGTCCCGTGTAAACATTGGCGTGCACGTAACAGAACCCTTGGTAGTTGGAATTCGTTATAAGAGTAGGCCGTAGTGCCGCTGTCTGGGCGAAATTTCTCTCATAGCATACTGTATGGCATAATAAATGAAATAAGCCCGCCTTCATTGGCCCAATCGTAGCAGAACAGTAGGACGTTAAACCACATTCCATTTTCATTTATTCGCAGAGTTGTAACGGCGGCAGTCGAAATCTAATTCTATACATATGTAAATAGGTGTATTGTTATGATTGTTGCATTAGTGCATACTTTAGTGAACTATAGAAAATCGTGATAATGACGAAATCCATTTTAGGTGTTGACATACGCAGTATTTAATTAAATCATTTTATTCAATATTTTATTTATTAGTTAATGAAACGAGTGGCAATCATACAGGTACAACGTTTTCCTGGCTTGAGTTGTTATCACCATTTTTAAAACCCAGACCTTCTACACCATGTTGCCGATTCTTGCAGGTTTCACAACATTTAATGTCATAAAGGAAAGACACACCCTTCAAAATGACATATTTTCCACAAATATTATCAAAACATTCAAAAAGTCGATCACCATATTCACAACCTGTAGAAAGTTAAACTAAGTCAAATTAAGTCAATAAATGTTATAGATAAATGGACCCGGAAAACATAGGCCTACAGGGGAAACAACTACTGTTAACCCGTTCGGTGGAAGACTACAATTTTTTTCCCCTTTGATTTCAATATTTGTTCTGACTCCTTGTCAATCTCCAACGTTTTCCCAAATTTTTGATGGACTGAACGCTCTTCACTACAGACTGGGCATTAAATTACCATGTCTTTGCTCTAAAATTTGTATGATGTTGTTCACTAAAATTTGGAGATACACAAACTAAAAGTAGCATACTGAAAACATGTAACTATCCGCCGTATACATCCGTAACCAACATATTAACTCTGTTATCCTTCCGCCTTTAAACCATGAATATTAAGTGATCCATACATAATGTGAGTATATCAGTTCGCCTCAAGACTATAATTCCGCAAATAGGGATCAGGCAAGTGTATCGTCCGATTGTATTTGATCGCCATAAAGAAAGGAACTAGAGTAACTGACTATAATCCACCCTATCCTTACCATTGCACTGTATCTGACTAAGCTATCTACTATACTCTTTACATAATGGCATATTAAGAAGAACTAAGTAGCCTATTCCAATTAGAAAAAGCCCCTAGATTTTACGGTCCCCATACTAACATTTGTTAATTAATGAAAGCATATGAAAATAAATATAGAAATGGCATGGTTTTATTAATATAGTTTTTTATATGAAAATATAATATAGTATGAAAATGTCACCATATTTACTAGAGTTAGCCCTACTGTAATCACGTAAGAAATAAAAATCCTCAACAACTAAATACAATTAATAGATTACCTTGAACGTCTCTTTTTATTTTTGCACAGGATTTACAGCATACAGAGCTAAAGAAATGATCATAACAATCATAGGGTGCTGATAGAATTCTCTGTGCACATGATTCTCCTGTGTCTGTTATATTATAATAACCAGAGGGCGTATCACCAAATAAACAATCACCTTTAAAAAATATACATCAGTTTTATTGAGAATTGGCTTAAATGCACGCTTCGTCTAAACGTATGCTGTATTTTTATAGTATACACATGATTGAGAACAGATATAGTTCTATGTTTGCGGTATGTAGATGCTTCAGACGCTTGTCATACAAAACATCTTGTCTCGATAATTAGTTTTAATTAATAACAAATATATACTGTTTTAGTTGTTATCTAGGAGTTTAAAGGACAATATTGGTGTGAGAGGTTATCTGACAATTCATAAAAAGAACTGACTCACTAGATAAGAGAAAAATAAAAAAAAAAAGAAAAAGCCCGTGCATTACCAAGTGTTTATTAAAGAATGAATAAAAACAAGAGAATGTACGGGCCTTTTCTATTTTTCTTGTTTTGTCTTATCTAGTGACATTCAATTATTCTTTTGAATTGTCAGATATCCTCTCAAGGAATTATCAGTGATTGAAACTCGGTCGTGTATCTGTTATCGCTAGTCAGTTATAATGATAGAAGGATAACTCTTGTTTTCTATTTTTTTGCGTTACTTCCGTTTCTTGAAATCTTCGTTACACATCTAGCGTAGCAATGATCTCTGTGTTAAAATTATATTTTGAATGTGTTCAACAAGTTCTATCGCATATGTGATAATGACTGACACCAATACTGTTCTTTAAAGAAACCATGTTAATGATGTATATTGTAAGACAGTCTCGTAGCCAAAATGACCCCCCACCCTCCCCCCACGCCCGAAAAAAAATATTGCCGACCATAGTTCTAAAAAAAATACCTACTGTTTGTAATAATAGACAGCAGTCGGGGATGGTCATGTGGAGTATTGATTTGGGGACGTGGCACCTTGCACCCAGTCTCATATTAGCCTATTGGTTATGTTCTGACATCTATCTGCCATATATTTTGTACTGACTTTCCCAATGGCACACTGTCGTACGGTCCCTGTCTTGTCACTATGTTCATTGTTCAGAGTTTGCTAGAGAACGATTTTCTGGGCTGGAAAACGCATTTGCGGCCGTCAAATTTTCAGTATTTTCCGGTGGAGGAGCAGTGACGGATCATGGCGAGGGCAACAGATGCAAATGCCTTGGCCCGGATCCGACGATTTGGTGTCAAAATAATATTTCTTTTATATTACTTAGAAAAAATAATGAAGATCCATTTCCCAAAAATCGTGAAACATAGTGCCCGAGTTTTGAAATTATTAGGTTATAGATATCAGAAATGTTTCCATATTATTTCTGGTTGACAGGTAGCGGTCTTGTTAATTGTCCAATATTTCCGTCAGGCTCCCGTTTGTCACTCAACCAGCTGACTTGACAAAAATCGATATCATCGGGCCCGGACTGGCAGTGGGACCCCCTTCTCACTTGTTCCCTCTCTAGGATAGTTTTTTCTGCTTAGAGAACAAGTATATGATTTCCCGCCCGGGATATATTCCACAGACCACAATTTCAGGTCGATTTCATATACCCCCCCCCCCCCCAAAAAAAAAATTAAAAAACCTTCACTGCCCTTCCGCAGGCTGGCTACGGGCCTGTTGTACGATCTGAATCTGTCAACTGCAAATATTTTTTCTTGCTTCAAATGTTCTACAAATTATTATTTAGACATTGATTTACATGGCAAACGAATAATCTACCCTCTAGATTATCCGGTAACTGAGATTTCTAGTAGATTATACAATATCTTCGTTAAAAGGGAAAATCCAGACTTCGTTTAATATCGTAGCAATGGTATTTGCTAATGAAATGTTCTATCAGGGAAAATGTACCCGGACAGCGGCGCTACGGCCCTACTCTTATTTCGAATTCAAATGTCAAGTGGTCTTTTACTTGCACTTCAAGGTGTAAACAGGGCCTTGCTTTTTTTCTATCTCTACCAAACGACTAGACACTGTCCTTGCCAGTCTTCCGCCCTGCACCACTGGCAAGCGGAACCGCACCGGAATTGGTTGAGAAACGTTCTCAGTCAACACCGGGAGCGAACCCGAGAGCTCCTGGTTATCGAGCCATCGTCCCACCCACTGAGCCACCGTGGCTCCAACTTAACTTAGAAGTTGATGCGTAAATAATAAGATGAGTAAGAACTCACTGTCTCTTTCTGGTGCTCTGTCATCATAGTGACATTCTCCATCCATACACCACTGTAGAGAAAAGGGGAATATTTTATTTCAAAACATTGTAATAAAGATTCTCCTCTTAGGTAGTCCCTTCCGCAACTTTCTTTGTCAGTGGGTTTCTTACCTTTCTATATGATACAGAATTAGTTTCAGACGTTTTTTTTGTCCTGAATTGGAAGGGGGGGGGGGGGTTCTTGAAAGACGTTTTCCGTGTTTTTTAGGCGCCTGTGGAAAGCATTGTCCTCAGCTGTTGTATACCTGTGTTCACCACCTACGACAAGGATGGGGACATACTGGCAATAAGTTATAACCAATCTTCACATCGGTCTTCCTTGCAACAGGATAACGGGCCAAAACACAATTTAAAATTTATAAGTATTTAGAAGAACTGAATGATACGTACAGCTTTATTATCACATGGTGTCCCGAGTGCTGGTACTTGAAAATCACATACATCTTGGATAGGATCATAACAGTACAGGTCTTCATAACAAAAAGCATCTGGACTATCTACATAACTGTTCTAAGATAATAAATCAGTAACCATTGAAAATTCGACAGAAAGCGAGAGAGAAATGGGGTTTAACGTCCACTGCACACAAACTAGGTCATTCCGGGACTAACAAATGTTACCATTTTATTTCAATAATTCGCTTACTATAGGGGTCTTTATCAGTGGGAGGAAACCGGTGGGCCCGGAGAGAACCCACTGGGTTAGGCAGGCGACCCTAACCCTTGCCACGTACAAGTGTCGGATCCAAACTACTCACTTGAATCAATGATAGACCATATGATCAAAACCATTCCGCAACCCACCCACCCATTCCTGACAGAAAAGATGTATGAAAAGCAATTTTTTACGGAATGCGTTTTCTTTATTTATGCAGTTAAAAATAGTTTATGTGAATGCACAGATTTCTCACTTATAATTTATACACAACTGAACAATAAACTAGCGACAAAAGTATATTAATAATATTGTAAACAGTGTTAATTTCATTCAAGTGTATAATGATAATAATTGTAAACAGTGTTAATCCCATTCAAGTGTATATGACATACCGCCATGGTTAATCAAAATAAAAAACGTTTCCATTATCCTCCATAAACTTGCCAATGAAAAAGGGGGTATATCCGATTCTTTAGAAATCCACAACAAGTATTTTATAAGTTTGTCAAATGAACACTGACAGCAATTCATCAAAATCAAGATGAGTGTTGCCTTTTTCGGCGGACAGTTTTTGGCAAATCTGATATAACAACCCTAATTAAAATACGAATGTCGCGTTACGGCGATATAGACCGGGAGCCCAGTGGGTCAACCTAGCTGAAAAGTGTACCGATTTTCTCCTATATGGTATCAATGTATGTATATCTGGTATAATCAGAATGTAAATCTGCCGGGTTTCTGGTGGTGGGTGTGGTATTCCACGCCCTAAATGCCATGATCCCCAACTAGGCTAGATTAGCTCAAAAGTGTACCATACGAAAATCTTACTGCAGTGTACGGTACATCTTCAGATATTACAAAAACACTCTGACAGACATTTCTAGTGGTGGGGTACCCCTGACAGAGCTATGTAGTAATTGCCAGACATTTGTAGTGGTGGAGTATCCCTGACAAGAGTTATCTAATATTTAGACCAAAGCTAGGCTAGATTAGCTGAAATCTGTACCACCTAAAACAGCTTTGGAGTTGTTCAGTACCACCACAGGAGTCATGAATGACCACTGCCAGACAGTTTGTGCGGTGGGTTACCCCTAACAGACACGCCCCAAAATGCCACGCCCCCAACTAGGCTAGCTTCGCAGGCACTGTTCCCGTGTTCTAAAAAATTAGATTTTTACCCAGGATGCGTAGGATACTAATACCTAGCACGTATGGAAGAGGCGATAAACTGCGATTGCAAGAAATTGATTTTTGGGCAAAAAACATTTTATGGGGCTAAAAATGCGTTTTTGAAAAATAAAATTGTTCCTACAACCACAGTTTATCGCCTCTTCCATATGTACCACCTAAAACAGCTTTGGAGTTGTTCAGTACCACCACAGGAGTCATGAATGACCACTGCCAGACAGTTTGTGCGGTGGGTTACCCCTAACAGACACGCCCCAAAATGCCACGCCCCCAACTAGGCTAGCTTCGCAGGCACTGTTCCCGTGTTCTAAAAAATTAGATTTTTACCCAGGATGCGTAGGATACTAATACCTAGCACGTATGGAAGAGGCGATAAACTGCGATTGCAAGAAATTGATTTTTGGGCAAAAAACATTTTATGGGGCTAAAAATGCGTTTTTGAAAAATAAAATTGTTCCTACAACCACAGTTTATCGCCTCTTCCATATGTGCTAGGTATTAGTATTCTACACATCCTGGCACAATTTTTAATTTTTTGGACCACAGGAACAGTGCCGGCTAATCTATCCTAGTTGGGGGTCGTGTTATTTTGGGCGTGTCTGTTAGGGGCAACCCACCGCACAAACTGTCTGGCAGTGGCCATTCATGATTCCTGTGATGGTACTGAACAACTGCAAAGCTGTTTTAGGTGGTACAGATTTGAACTAATCTAGCCTAGCTTTGGTCTGGAAATTAGATAACTCTTGTCAGGGATACTCCATCACTACAAATGTCTGGCAATTACATAGCTCTGTCAGGGGTACCCTACCACTAGAAATGTCTGTCAGCGTGTTTTTATACGCCCACATTTTCATGTGGACGTATATTGTCGTCGCCCCTGTCCGTCCGTCCGTCCGTCCACAATTGTTTGTGAACAGTCTACAGATCACAATTTTTACCCGATTTCAATGAAACTTAAAATATAAGTTTATCACCCTAAGATCTCAGTTCCTTTCGATATTGGCATGTATTGGACTGTAACTTCATGGATTATGGCCCCTGATTGTACGAAAAATCACGTTTTTAGCTTGTGAACACTGTAGAGGTCACAATTTTTATCCAATTTTGTTGAAACTTGAAATGTAAGTTTATAACCCAAAGATCTCGGTTCCTTTCGATGTTCACGCATATCGGACCATAACTTCCTGAATTATGGCCCCTGATTGTACGAAAAATCATGTTTTTAGCTTGTTGACCCTATAGAGGTCATAATTTTTATCCGATTTGAACAAACGTATTATTATATCACCGTTACATCCTAGGGACGGCTGAGTTCGAATTTCGTGAAAATCAGCCCAAAATTGACAGACAAAATGGCTGCCGTTCGTTCCCAAATAGCGTAAAAATATGGTATATCAAGGTTGTGGACCCTATAGAGCTCATAATTTTTATCCGATTTTGTTGAAACTTGAAATGTGAGTTTATTACCCAAAGATCTCGATTCCTTTCGATATTCGCGCATATCGGAACGTAACTTCCTGAATTATGGCCCCTGATTGTACGAAAAATCGCGTTTTTAGCTTGTGGACCCTATAGAGGTCTTAATTTTTATCCGATTTAAAAAAACGTATTATTATATCACCGTTACACCCTAAGGACGGCTGAGTTCGAATTTCGTGAAAATCGGCCCAAAACTGACAGACGAAATGGCCGCCCATCGTTCTCAAATAGCGTAAAAATATGGTATATCAAGGTTGTGGACCCAAAAGAGGTCACAATTTTTTATCCGATTTTGTTGAAACTTGAAATATAAGTTTATAACCCAAAGATCTTGGTTCCTTTCGTTGTTCGCGCATATCGGACCGTAACTTCCTGAATTTTGGCCCCTGATTGTACCAAAAATCACTTTCTTTTTAGCTTGTTCTCTATCCATCTCTCGAAAATGTGGGCGTATCCTGCCTGGCAGCCGTTGGTTGTAATACCTTAAGATGTATGGTACATTGCTGTGCGATTTTCACGTGGTACACTTTTGAGCTAATCTAGACTAGTTGGGGGGCATGGCGTTTTGGGCGTGGAATACCACACCCACCACCAGAAACCCGGCAGACTTACATTCTGATGATACCAGATATACATACATTGATACCATATAGGAGAAAATTGGTACACTTTTCAGCTAGGTTACCCCCCTGGGCTCCTGCTCTAATATTTTAAAGGAGCTAAATCGCTATTCTTTGGTACCTAGAAATGGACACAAATGGTCGCAACGCATATAATAATGTAATATGAATCTATATAAACTGATTTACGTTCAGTCGTTTCTGTTTTTACTCTAATTTCTAATCAGTTATTTGAGTTATGTTCGGCGAAATACGAGAAAAGTGCATATTAAATGGCAGCCTCTGGCGTCTGTGTATTTCAGTTTACTCCGGTAGTCTTCCCTTGTGGGATACGTTTAGCCTCATTCGCCGAGTCGCTCATTACAAAGCCTTCTGGTACGCGATTCGTGTGCCAAGTTTAAAATTTTCATTGTGTCTTAAATATTGGATACCAGAAGCCCATCTTTTCACGGTAAGATAACAACATCAACGTTGGTTTAAATTGACCAATAAGCCGTGTTTGCAATGACAAAGACCGTGAATGATACGAGTTAAAGACTTAGCTACTTTAACAATATACTTATAAATGATTTGATACTTCTCTAGGCCGTCAAATTAGGTGTACGTATAAAGTATATACTCACTCTGCAATGAAACGACTTAGCCCCATGGACCTGTTGACATTGTGCGTCTGCTTCGTAAACAATTCCTGGAAGTTTATTCTCCATGTTCGGTACGTCTGCTGACGTGTTTAATCGCTTTAGCACACAGTCAGGCCTGAACAGAAATAATGATATGTCAAACTAAAACGATTTGACAGGAACATTGTCACAAACAGTTGTTTCTTAATTCAAAAGTCACGGAAGAAATCCTACAGTCATAATTACCATCAACTGGACTTTGTTTCTAGGTAATAAAATATAAAAATATTTACTAAACTTATAATTTAATTAAAAAGAGGGACAAAATGGATTTTAACATTCACATACTGTGTAATTTTGAGACTTATATAATGTGGTACAATATTTCAATAATACTGGCGACAGTACTTCTTGTCACGCCCATTGACTCTGTGACAGACATTATGATTTAAATAAATCGGTACTTACGTTTTCCTAACTTGGTTTCTCATGTACTGTTTCACAAAATAAATAGTACAGTCTGATGGAAGATTAGAACGTGCTACAGTAGGATCAAATATATTTGACATCAACTGCCGGGTAGCAGAGTCACACCAATTCTGTTCACCATCATGGTCGGAACCAAAACTAAGAGAAACGTTTTATACTCGTATTTAACGCTGATTAAAACTGTACAATGCTCAAAATTGACTGAGAAATGAGTTGGGAGATCACATGTGAACGTATGTTGTCGTCGCCTCTATCCATCCTGACGCCCGTCTGTCCATAATTTGTTTGTGGACGCTCTCTACAGGTCATTTATAATTAAAATAAGATCTGGGTTTGACGAAACTTGAAATACAGCTTTATAACCCCGAGATCTGGGTTCCTTTCGTCATGTATCGAACCGCAACTTCATGGACTGTACGAAAAATCATGTTTAGCTTGTGGACACTTGAGAGGTCACAATTTTTAACCGATTTTGATAAAACTTATGTATGTTTATAACCCAAAGATCTCGGTTCCTGTCGGATTATGGCCTCTCCTTTTACGAAAAATTATGTTTTTAGCTTGTGGACCATCTGGAGGTCACAAGTGTGACTCACAATTCTTACCCGATTTAATAAACCGTGTCACTATAAACTTCTAAGGACGGTTGAGTTCAAATTTCGTGAAAATCGGACAGAAACAGTTACTGTTCGACAAAATAATATAATATAGAGATGTAATATAGGGTGTGCCTGTTCCTCAACCCCTTTCAATTTCTGAATAAAATATTGTTTAAAAAAAAATAATGTAAAAGTACGTAATACCATGGTTGTGGACCATAGAGGTCACATTTTTTATCCGATTTCCATGAAACTTAAAATACACGTGTAGGCCTATATCCCAAAGATCTGGTTTCCGCTCGATACTTGCGCGTAATGGGCCGTAAATTCCTGGATTATGTACCCTGATTGTACGAAAAATCGTTAGTTATTATTTTATTTTATTTTTTTGTTCATATTCCATCTCTTGCAAAATGTGGGCGTAAATTTCATGGCAACCGCTTGTTAGTATATTTACAGCACCCTGTTGGTGACCCCATGAGACAGGATATGCTTCTAAAACACCTAATAGCACCCATTCACTCCATAGGATGAATGGCGTAGTGTTTCCGAACCGTTCCAAAGAGTATGTTTGAAATCCCACATGCCAGACATAACAGTACAGAAGTTTGGACATAATATTATCCACATGTCTGTTGATGGACGAAACAGACAAATTTCAATGGCTAATCAATAGAACGACCATCGAAACGAAATACTTTGGGGGGGGTGTGGGGGGGGGACAATGGTGTCATACCCATTGGGCGAGGGTGGTAAAATACCATGGGCCTCGGACCTCCTAGGCGTTTCCACCGAATTTAATGTACAAACAATCACAAGGTTCATACCCGTAATCAATCAAGTGAACAATAAGATGAAGTTATATTTAAAGATGTACTGCCGTTTGAGAACTTTTGATTTCTTCTCGGTTAATGTCTTCAATGCCCGAGTTTGTGCATTGTTTGTTGTCTTACCCGTAATCGTTGCTACTCGAAACTTACATGTATAAAGACATACCATGGACATACTTGCGGTCGACCATGTCACAAGAAAGACTTGAGTGAATTAGCCATTTTATCATCGAAAATGTAGACGCCAAAGCGATGGATATAGATAATATTATTGATATATTTGGCAAAGCTATAGCTCGTAGTAAGAAATTATAATATTGCTATAGTAAAAAAGTCGTTTGAAAAGTTTATACAGCCGGGATTACCACAACTACACAGGATGTCAAGATCCCGAGAATATTAACTTGAATTCTCGAGATCGTTAACACAGGATGGGAGAACCTCGAGAACATTTTTAGAGGATCTCGAGAACATTTTTAGAGGATCTCGAGAAAGTATCACAGGTCCACAGGATCTCGAGATCTTCTACAAAATTTTGCATGACCCTTATACGCTTCCGTACACAACGCAATGTTACTGAAGAATTTTGTGGATAAGAAACTAAAACAAAAATCCAACTTAAAAATAATAATAAAAAAATCCAAATAAAAAAAATTCAAATAAAAAATAATCATAAAAAAGCTAAATAACAAAATATGACATTATTTAAGATTTACAGTGATAAAGCGAATTAATGGAGACAGTAATGTAAGGGTGTACCTGTGAGTTAATTCATGTGCTGCTACATCTGCTGAATTAAATCCACCCATCTCTTCCACATATGACACACTCGAAGAACCAGCACAAACGGTGCCAGTAAACGCTCTACCTGTCGCAAACAGAGATTGTTGATTGATTATTTTGGCAATCTACTTAATAATTATTAGCTTTCCATTTCTATTTGTTTATATTATTTTTACACTACATTGTATTCTTTCTTACTCTTATTTTTCTTATTACATTCTTTCCCACTCTTTTTTTTTGTCTTACTTTTAGACTTCTTACACACATTCTATTAACATTGATAGTCCCGATCAGTGACAGTTCTGTGTATATCAATCAGTCATATCTTAAATAAATGAAATGAAAATGGAATGTGGTTTAACGTCCTACTGTTCTGCTCCGACTGAGCTAATGAAGACGGGCATACGTCATGCAGTGTGGAATCAGGGAAATTTTGCCCGGGCAGCGGCACTATGGCCTACTCAAATATCGAATTCCAACTGCCAAGGGATCTTTTACGTGCGCGCCAATGTATACACGGGACCCATGTGTATATATGGTGAATAGCTTTATTTGATTCATGCTTCCGCCATAGGTGATATCGCACCATCTATATTTGCAGTGAAAAATATTGATGGGCCTGTCTTATATCCGACTGAATCCTAGCAGTGAAATTTTCTTCCTTAATTAAATGTTAAACATAGATTATGCAAGAGCTAAATCTGCCTATTTCAGGTCTTTCTTTAGGCCTGAAATGTTACCTAAATTATTTATTAGTCATTTAACTTGTTTGCACCATAATCAACTCTCGGTGTCATTGCTGGTGTGTGATATGTATTGGATTAGGATACGATTTGCTGCCCAACTTTCATTCAGGATTTAATCATGAAATGGATAATCGAGACTATGTTTTTTATCGTCCCGACTTTAGTAATGATGATCGAGGCTAGGCCGAAAATTCAATCGCTAAATTCTCGGTTCACAGTGGATAAATTTGACTGAAATTTTCAGCAAATGCCCTTTACATTATCTAGTTTTTAACTATAATAGTTAGAACTGCCAGCTCTTTATCTGATCTCCCATAATGTATCTTTAATTAATATTCAATTATCTGACTACAGTGTGGATTAAGTCGTGGGCAATTACGCACCGTTACTTTAGTTTTCAACTACTCTAAAAGGTGTAAATATGTCATTAAAGATAACTTAATATACCTTTATTTCCATTTAATCGTAACGCTGCGTCTGAAGTAAAATCCATTCTGATAAAAAAAAAAGAAAAATGCTTAAAGATACATTATGCAAGAGCTAAATCTGCCTATTGCAGGTCTTTCTTTAGGCCTGAAATGTTATCTAAATTATTAATTAGACATTAATTAACTTATCCAGACCATAATCAACTCTAGATGGCATCGCTAGGTGGACTGTGATCAGATTTACTGCATAACTTTCCTTCTCGATTAAACGATTAAATGGATAATCGAGACTATGCTGTTTAACGTACTGACTTTAGTAATGATGACCGAGGCTAGACAGAAATTTTATTCGCTTAGTTGTCGGTTCATAGTGGATCAGTTTGAATGAAATTTTCAGCAAATTGCCTTTACGTTATCTAGTTTTTAATTATTATAGTGAGAACTGCCAACTCGTTATCGAATCTCCCATAATGTATCTTTAATTTTGAAACGTTAATTTACATGTGCAAAGAAGAACAACTGTCGTAATAATGATTCAATAAACGGGTAATGGTCAGAAATAAAATCAAATCACACAGACAACTCTTTCGTCAACTCACATTCTGGAAGTTTTTCAAATTGATAAAATAGATATAATGAAGCAAAATTATAAATCTAATTCACTTTATTCCTAATAGGTGAATTAGTCTAATTCACAATATTCCTAGTAGGTGAATTAGTCAATTCCTAATATTATGTGAATATTAGTCACAATACGTATAGTAGATGGATTAGTTTAATTCGCAATACTGCTATTAAGTGGATTAGATCTGATTAAGATAATGACACCAACCTTGAATACAACTGAATGTGATCATGTGGTGGTATCTGCCCTTCTGTACTGTTTTTTATCCAGAGTTTCATAGCATTTAGAACATTCATTCCATACACATACCTACCACTTCTATAAGGTTCTGTCAAGAATGAAGAGGTTTTATTCTAGAAATATTGTAAAAAAAAAATGCTTACAAAAATATGAAAGCATGTGTTCAATTTAAGGAATATACATTTAAAATAATTTTATTTTGATCTGCATAAGAAATGATTATTGTCTATTTCATTGGATTTTATGAACATGAAAATGAAATCTGTAAAGACTTACTTCCCCTTAACCATTCCAAATAAAAATTTAATCATTAATCGCAAAAACAAAGGTTATTTTATTTCAAAGGGTTCAGCTCCCTTAAAGATGCATTATGTAAGAACTAAATCTGCTTATTACAGATCTTTATTTCTGCGCGTACTGAGAGCTAGAAGCAGAGTGAAAGGTTCTTTAATGTGTACGCCAATATGTACATAGAAGCTTGTTTTTTGTCCCATCTAAACAACTAGACACCTTTTGGCCAGACACCCTCTCCTGCACTATCGACAGGGCGAAACACCGCTGTCGACATCACGACCTCACCACATGATAATAATAATAATAATAATAATAATGGACATTTATAGAGCGCCAACATCCGGATAGATTACCTGCTCTGGTGCGCTGTTACAATATTCATAATGATGGGGAAAAGTTTAAAAATCGCACCGGGGAATCACGAAAGCTTCGTTAAAAAAATGAGTTTTTAGTTTCTTTTTGAAAATGTTTATGTTGTCCACACTTTTCAGTTCAAATGGAAGCTCATTCCATAGTGTCGGAGCAGCGACTTTGAAGCTTCGGAGACCAAGATTACTTTTTACTTTTGGTACAACTACTAGGTTCTAGTTCTCTGAGCGAAGGCTTTTGGTTTGTTGGTATTGTTGTAGCAGTGTGGATATGTACAGGGAATTCAGTAGAGTAAAGGGAGCAGTATGTGAAACATAAGATTATAAATTTAATGCGATACTCTAAGGACAACCAGTGCAGTTCTTTGAGTACAGGTGTTATACTACTGGGCCGTTTTGATCGGGAAACAATTCTTGCTGCTTTGTGCTGAATAAATTTTAATGGTCGAAGAGAATTTGCCGGAAGATTGATCAGAAGTGAGTTGCAGTAATCTAATTTTGAGGTCATAAGTGCATTTACTGGGAGTTTCGATGTTTCGAGGTTTAGGTATTTTCTGATTTTGCCAATTTGGTAGATATGAAAATTACAGGATTTGGTTACGGCTGATATATGATCTTGCATAGAAAGAGTGCTGTCAAATGTGACTCCAAGGTTTTTAACAGTTTTACTGACGGGTATAGCACAGTCTCCAATAGAAGACAACTGCTTAGGTGAGCCATTTCAAAGTGCATACAAGCAGTTCCATAGTACTGAAACTGCCCTAACTAGGGTATCCAATGATATACTTCTTGAATTAGATGATAAGAAGTGTGTGTTTTTGCTTTTATTGGATCTATCTGCAGCATTTGACACTGTTGACCATTCTATTCTTCTTCATAGATTACGTTTTAGATTTGGTATACAGAGTGATGCATTGAAACTGTTAGAAAGTTATTTAGTGGGTAGGACACAATCTATTTTATTAGATGGCAAACTATCAAAAGAAACTGTTTTATCTTTCGGTGTTCCGCAAGGATCGGTTTTAGGCCCGATACTTTTTATATTATATTCATCACCTATTAGCAATATTGTTGATAAATATAACCTTAAATTTCACTTATATGCTGATGATACTCAACTATATATTTCTTTTAACTCCAAATATCCATCTTCTTTTAACCTATCTAAACAACAACTTGAAGACTGTATTAGTGAATTAAGACTATGGATGTCTAAGAATTTTCTTAAATTAAATGACGATAAAACCGAATTTCTTCTTTTGGGATCGAAATATCAATTAAATAAATATGTACATTCTAACTTATCCATTGTTATAGGTGATTGTGAGATTAACTCTACTGCTTTTAGTCGAAATATTGGTGCGATGTTCGATAATTTTATGAATATGGAAGCGCAAGTTAATCATATATCTAAAGTTTGTTATTTTAATATTCGCAATATTGGTAAAATGCGGAACTATTTATCAAGAGATGCAACAAAAACTCTTATTAACTCCCTTGTGACGTCAAGACTCGATAATTTTAACCCTCTTTTAGCTGGCTTACCCCTTAAACTTATTAACAAACTCCAACGAATTCAAAATACTGCTGCGAGATTAATAACCTTGACGAATAAATATACAAGTATAACCCCTGTTCTCTTTCAGCTGCACTGGTTGCCCATTAAATATAGAATAGAATTTAAGATTTTACTTTTAACTTTTAAATGCCTTCATAATTTAGCACCAGTGAATTTATCTGAACTTTTAGAATTATACACCCCAGACAGAACCCAAGGTTCATCTGATAAATTACTTTTAAAGCAAAAAATTGTAAATATTTCTAGTTACAGGGCACGTTCTTTTAGTTATCAAGCGCCTATTTTATGGAATCAATTACCTTTTAATATTCGAATTGCATCATCACTGGTTAATTTTAAAAAACAGATTAAAACTTTCTTATTTTTAAAGGCCTATAACAAATTTTAACACCCATTATTTTGTCTATTGTAGTTATTGTATGTATTTTTAGAAATAATTGCTTTTTTAATGTATTTTTTAACATATTGATGTTATTTACTTTTTGAACGTATGTTTTTGTTACACTGTAAAGTGCCCTTGAACACATCTGTGAAAGGGGCGCTATATAAATTTTGTAATAATAATAATAATATAATATATTAACACCGTCGTCGCCGATTTGATTTAAAATATGTTTGGTACCAAGTTTTATAAGTTCAGTCTTATCGTTATTTAGTTTTAACAGGTTTGATTTCATCCAGTGACGAATTTCAGCCACACAGTTTTCCAGTTTGGCTTTTCCAAATGTTTCAGTAGATGGTTTAAAGGACAATATTGGTGCTAGTCATCATCACATATGTGATAGAACTGGTTAAACACGTTCCAAATATTATTTTATCACAGGGATCATTGCTACGATAGATGAGTAATCAATGTTTCAACAATAGGAAGTGACGAACGCAAAAGGAAAACACGAGTATATAAATTTTATACAGATCGGGTCGGATGATAATTATTGTCGTAAAGAGTTCACAAGGTTCAAAAAAGTGAAACAAGGGCCATAATTCTAGACTTAAATAATGGAAATTGCTGAAATTCAATAGACTTCAGTGTTTCACTAATATAAATGGTGCATATAAATTTCATACAGATCGGATGATAACCTTTGTCGTTAGAGCGTTCCAGGGTTCAAAAACGTGAAACAAGGGCCATAACTCCAGAAGAAATGAATGAAAATTAACGAAATTAAATAGGATTCTTTATCTTACTAATTTTAACAACATATATCAATTTCAAAACAGATGATAAATAATATAGTCTGTAAAGTGTTCATAAGACATTGTGGATGTACGGGCGCGGGCGACGGCAATATACGACCAAATTTCCATGTGGGTGTATAAAACTTACATTTCGATATCACCCTTTGTGGAAGTGGACGTAAAACTCAAGCAACGAACCAACACACATTATGTCTCGCCGGTAGGTCCAAGTAAATTAGTGGTGCGTTTTCATTGCGACTAGGGGGTGGGGGGTGGATGGCCGAATGGTTAGCATGTGCGCGCTGTATCATAATAAGGTCTATCATTGAGTCAACTGGCTTGGTTTCCATTCCCCGGTTGTACGTGGCAAGGAGTTGGTTTTCTCCGGGTCCTCCGGTTTCCTCCTTTTGCTAAAGACCCCTACGCGCTAGCGATTTGTTGAAATAAAATTGAACCATGTGTTAGTCCTGAAATGACCTAGTTTGTGTCGAGTGGAGGTTAAACTCTCTCTCTCTCTCTCTCCCATTGCGACTCACTATGTATACATAGAAATATTCTAAATACATTGAACTCTAACCTCAGAAATGATGAAACCTGTCACAAAAACTGTTATCTGGAAATCCCTGGCGGGAAAATTTTGAAAGATGAGATTGACCTACAATAAAATAAAAGGGAAATAACCGGCATGTATCTCTCAAAAAAAAAGCGAATAAACATTAATTTCATTAATTAGTGAAATAATACCCTGTCGAACGCTGCACAGGTTTTCGTGTTGATCCCCCAAGCAAAATAATCTAATAGTGTGATAATCAGGCCCGTAGCCCCCCCCCCCCCCCCGAAAATGTTTTTTGCCGACCATAGCTCTAAAATACCTACTGTAGACTGTGCCGGGTGTCCCCCCCCCCCCCCCTAAAAACTTCACTGCCCCTCCGAAGCTAGCAAGCTGACTACGGGCCTAGTGATAATGTACCAATCGATAACATAATTAATATTTCATGAAGTCTGTGAATGTCATTTGAGGGAGTGTTGCAAACATCAATATTGCGATGACTGAATCTACTAAGAATATCAATCAAAAGCTTGTTTAACACAATTCGGTATTGACAAAAATAAAATGTTCCTGAAGCAACGACTGCGAGTACTACCACATCTGTACGTTGCTAGATTGCTTTACAATGCCCTTACTTATAGCTACGTTATCTCCATTTACGGCACACAATTGAACAGTAGCGCCCAATCAGAGGTTGTGGCACAAACACACTCAAATCAAATATAGCGAACTCCACGGAAACCTTGACATTAAACGAACCTTGAACTTTGCAACTCGATTATCACAGGTAGACATTTTAGCTGGAAAGTGCGAGACTTGATGATCGCGATGATCGAGGAATCTGATAGGCTCTCGAAATTAGTGCCGAAATATTCTGGGTATTAGGGCCTAAGTTGTTAACCCGCCATTACTTTGATTACTTTGTAAGTCTGAATTTGGTAACAATACGTCAATTGTAAGTGTTCACTATAATCCTATCTGACTTTCGTTATCGATTCGTCATTTGCATTTTTCGCTAAAAATCAAATTTCTCACGTCCCAGTCCACAGTAATATTTACTTCGGTTGATTATTTAACATTTAATTAAAGATGCATTTGTAAGAGTTAAATCTGCGTAGGTCTTTATTTTGGCTTCAATTGTTATATAAACTATTATTTAGACATTTATTAACATGACAAGCCCATAATCAAGTAGCTAGTTCATCGGATGGCGGAGATTTTAAAGGATTGAAACACGATCTCCATTTAATAATTTAATTAATAAATATACAGTTGCTACGATCATAGACAGTCTTTGTCACATCTTATCAAAACTTCAAACAGTGGAAACTTCGCTCAGAATAAAGTAATTTGAATAAAAAATTTGATATATTAATTTTGCATTATCTAGTTTTGAACTATTATAGCAAGAACGACTAGTTCTTTATCTAAATCATACATATGAATCCTTAAGAAAACAACATTAAAAGACATCGCTATAACAGACAATGTCCCGGCATCGGATTTAACTTATTACATAGCGAGCAGCATAGATCGATGAAATTTCCATTCTACATAATATCCTTGTAAATACAGAACGGAATTGAACCATTTTTTAACTGGTATTCATATTACAGATTCATGTTTCACAATATTGTAGTTTGCTCAAGTGATTCCTATAGCACCAATGACGAATCAAGGCTTTAAATATAATGAAATTGGGGTCTCGTACTGTATGCAGTGGTTGGCTCATCAGCACTGTAATATGACGAATTGATATAGTACGTATATTTATAGTCCGGTATATTAAGGAAAAGGAGAATCATCTAAAGTCTGTTATATCCGAAAATAATTTTACATCTCTCTAATAACCAGTTTAGTTTGGCGGCGCGTAGTAAACACTGCATACTTTATCAGATATCTCCGCCACGTGAAAATATACAAACCCAGTTATACGAGACTGTATAATATTTTCTTATATTAGCTAAAGTTTGTATTCTTTTTATCACTGGATTAGGATGACCACCAATGCTGAACCACCTGAAATAGAATCAAACGTTTTGTTTAAACAAGTATCAGCGCAAGACCAGTATGGCGTTATCACAGCCTTCGCGTACTGGTAAGTTTCATGTCGATCATATTTTCTGTTTTCGAAGAGCGTCACCCCTAAAACAAGAAAAAGATGGGTAGAGGTTGCCAGGTTGGAAAAGTTCCATGACCAAAAATATAATATCAATCACTGGCCAATGAGAGTTGAACCCAAGGAATAGGAGGGTAGTGTTGCGGTGGTTGTTGTTGATTAATTATGAGCCCAGATATTTAAAAGTGTTAAAGGGAATAATGTATTTTATAATGTACAAGTGGAAACGTGTATTTTCGTGAATCTTCGTTGTTGACTAAATGAAGACAGGAATCTTGTTGTTAATATCACTATATTTTTTGGTTAACAAATAATCAACTACAGCAAACAATTAATGTAACAAATGTTGGTTCAATGCTTAATACTAGATAAACTCCAATATGGATATGGGAATTGACATAAACTTCTGTCCTTAGGAATGTGATCTAACTTGATCTCCCAAATGACACGTGGTCGCCTTTAATTCTGTCATTTGGGTCTATATATCCCCATGCATCGCCTATGGCATTAATCCTATATAAATTTATCGTCTATACAAACAATATACCATGGTAACTAAAACGCTATAGCCCTTAGACGATAATTACAATTCATAAGATCAATTTAAAGTTTAAAACAAAGAATACTGGAGACAGGACAAGAGTTTTATAAAGAGTTGGCCATTCTTGCTATAATGATTCAAAAATAGATGATAAAAAAAGAGAAAATGTTGAAAATTTCAGTCCAATTACTTTGTTCTGAACGGAATTGTCACTGTTGGAAGTTTGGGCTAGAAATAGGCATCAATTGTGTCTGCACCGTCTATGAGAATTGACGATCGTTTGATTGACAGACGATAACTCCACCCACATATTCTCGATTATCAAGTAACATGCTCAATGGCTATGGTAGCCTGGTTTGACAGGCCTTTCGTCGCCAGTTTCCGGTAGTGACATCAGCGACTAACGGTAAAGGTTAGCTTGATCCGCCATTTTTTAAATCCAAACTGTATCCAAGCCATCCGCGGGCCTACAGAGTTGATTTTGAGCTTGTCGTGTAAATAAAAGTCTAATTAATAATTTCTATAACATTTGGAGCCTAAATAAAGACTTGCAATAGGCAGATTTAGCTCTTGCATAATGTATGTTTAAGGAAATATATAAGACAATATGAAATAGATATAAATGGGGGCTAATTAAGGTGGATTAAGATCTATTAAAATATAGTTTACTGAAAAAAGTAATACTGTGCGGATTAGCATGATATATTAAACATTTACTATTGGATCACTCTACTACAATACGTAAGAGAAAATGACTGAAGGTCGAACTTTTACCGAGTAAGGTAAAATGATATGACCGAAGATGTCCGAATTAAATTGAATTCAAACTCTTGGACAATAATTATTGTGTCAAGCCATACGTTTCATGAGTCTAAGGGTCAACGTTTGTAAAAAACATTTTTGGCTCAAATTTTAATCTTGTCCACAATTATCTTAGTGTATACGAGCATACAAACTTGTTCAATACTGTACCAATACACGAATCCAAGAAAATTGCAAGACATGCTGATCATATAAATACTTACTGGTCATATATTGTATAATCTGTCATTATAAGTACATCTATTAAATATTCTCTTGTGTTTCTCTTAAATCGTCTATGTGATCTGATCTCTGGATTCTTTATATGTCGGTGGACTGAATAGCAATATAACAAATATCATGTTATTTTATTCTTTTATTACAGTAACATTTAACAGATGGTGGTAAGATTCACCCCGTTGAAAATTTTATTGCACAGGAAATTAAAACAAATAAATGAAAATCGTCTTCGAGCTTCCATAAAGTTTCCGAAATCTGATAAAAGCTCAACTTTAATTTTTTAATACCAAAAATTTGTACTGAATTGATTTGGATTAAAACATTTTGTCTTGAGTCACTCTACTTTGTGCGACATTTTTCGGGCATCGATTAATATTTGTGAATGTAGCTGCAACAGGGTGATAGGAATTCAGGTCGGGTCAGAATTTTCCAGGAGACGATTGATTGGTTGTTTTTGTTTTTGATTCAGATAGGGGGGTTGGATGGCTGAATGGTTAGCGTGCGCGCGCTGTATCATAAAGTCTGTCATTGAGTCGACTGGCGTGGTTTCGAATCCCCGGTTGTACGTGGCAAGGAGTAGGGTCGCCTGTCCAACCTCGTGGGTTTTCTCCGGGTCCTCCCGTTTCCTCCCACTGCTAAAGACCCCTACGCGCATGCGAATTATGTAAATAAAATTAAACCATATGTTAGTCCCGAAATGACCTAGTTTGTGTCGAGTGGACGTTAAACCCCATCTCTCTCTCTCTCTCTCTCTTGATTCAGATAAGCCACCTAAGGTATGGAATTCGAGTCAGCTACCATAGCCTGTATTAGATCACTTTCAAGTTGCTGTATTCAAGGGTTGGAATAGCAGGAAAACTCATTTCTCAAATGTTCTTAGGGTGCCGCCGTCTGTAATTCGAAATATTTTGGGGTATTTCAGGTTCTGCCCCCACCAACACCGAGCCCGTACATATTTTACGATAATGTTACAGTGTATCTTTATAGGCATTTTAGTTATTATTCAATTTCAGTTATAGTTCAAAAGTTCGAAGTGGTATCTATCTATAATGTTTTATGTCTTTAAACTGCTTTGAGTTTATACTTAAAGCAGATAACCTCTCACTTAATATTATCCATAATATTCAAAATTAAAAATATTGTTCCAGTTCAATCAATATTGGCGTTGTTATTTTACCTTGAAAATATGGGATCCTAATATCCAGTATTTTAGTCATAATGTACAATTCAAAATCAGTGCAAGATGTCCTGTGTAGTCTATGGACAGAATGATTTCGAGCACCATTTGTAACGATAGAAAGAAAAACATATGCCAGAATGCGTATAGTAATTAAAATGGCTAATTCACAAACGACAAAATAATAAGCAGGCTAAAACCACTGCCGTTCAATTTGGATTGTTCGCGTATTTTTTCTCGAACATAATTATTAGTTATAAATTACAATAAAAATGCTAACAATTGTATGTAAATCATCTTAGTATACATGCATATTTATACATTAATATATGCTTTCAGACCTATTTTCTTCTATTTCAATGTTCTAAAAAACAGAGCCACATGCCCTTTAATTAAAGTTTCTACATTTTACTGTAACTTTAGTCTGGTGACCGGCTCCTTGCGATATATACGTTTAGATATATATTGCAATCTGGCAGTTAGTCAATTTTGGACACTCGTCTATCACTTGTAATTATTTATTCTCGTCAGTGATAGAATTGGCAACTGTGAGTAAGGCGCTGACTCACAAACCACATACGGTTCGATCCACATACGGCAATCCATATAATGAAGATTATAAATTTACGAACAGTACAATGGATTGCCGTTAACCTCCTCGTGGGACGATTTATTTCGTTATAAAATGTACCCTTCTAGGTAGTAATAATATTTAATTGAGTGAATTATTATGTGGTGAATTATATTATTTACTCACCCAAAGATGTAACAGAATCTACTTCGTCGAGTGAATTGGATGGGGTAAAAACATATTCACCTTTGCCTTGATCAACAAGTTCAACATTGTAGGCTTTTCCTTTATGGATTATTTTTCCTTCCTGGAAACAAATGATGGATATAATGTCAAACTAACATAAGGATAAATCATGGCCCAATATCCTTCAATTAAAGACACGCTGTGCAAATTTGACTTCTAATGTTATATAAATTATTAATTAGGCATTTATTTGCATGACAAATCCATTTACTCTCTAGATTATCGGATGGCTGTAACATTGAAAGGATTAGAACACCTGTGCCATTTAATAATTTAACGTTAGAATTGATAATCAAGATTTTGTTTATTATCCATGCAATGGTATAACTCTTGACAATCGATACTATCTTGTCAAAACTTCAAACACCAGTAACTTCGCTAAGATCAGCATAAAGTAACTTGAATTTTCAATGTATTCATTTTTTATTTTCCATTTCTGAACTTTTATAGCAAGACCCGTTAGTTCTTTGTTTTTTATTTAAAAATTACATAATGCATCTTTAAATTAATTATCCCATACGTTGGTCTCGTTTATTTCATGTAAAGAACCACTCAGATACAGACAGATACATTAAACTTACCACTGATAATGGTTTCTTTGCAAGATGATATTGGGAACATGTGATTACCATTGCCGCCATGTTGTTTCTGTCTTGATAAGCCATCGTGGACTATATATTATAATGTACAAACATCATTTATTAATAATTTCAAAGTAAAATACAGAAAACAAAAGTACGCACTAATTATCATGCTACCCAAAGTGTCAAAGACGTAACATATTTTGTTCATGGGCAGGCAATCTTGTGTCCCATTTTATTACTAATCTGTTTCTTTATACATATGTTTTGCAAGCCCAATTTCAAAAACAGGTAAATGAAATAGGGTTTAACGTCCTATTGTTCTGGCCTAATGAAGACGGGCATACGCCAAACAGTGTGCTTTAAGGGGAATTTTGCCGGGCAGCGGCACTACGGCCCAATGTTATATCGAATTTCATCTTCCAAAGGATCTTTTACGTGCACGCCAATGTGACCTCGGTTTTTCGTGCCATCCGAACGACTATACGTTGTCCCTTGCCAGGCCGTCTTTCCCGCACCACTTAAGAGGGGGAACCACGCCGAAAAATCTGGATGAACTTTCAATGCAGGGATCGAACACCCGACCTCCACCGTGGCTCCCAAATGATAGGTATATATAGTTCTAATGAAGACGTACATACGCCAAAGAGTGTGCTATAAGGGGAATTTTGCCCGGACAGCGGCACTACGGCCCAGAGTTATATCGATGGTCTAGCGTTCTCCGTAATAGCAGGAATAGATGCGCATGCAGTGGCGACACCAAACGATGTCACAATGATGGTTGCTAGGTGAAAGTATCGAAATTGTAAACTTGTTCGATGTTTATTCTAAACATGTAAAGCGTAGTTGAGAGGATAGTTTTTTCTTTACAATAATAAAAAATAACATGAAATAGAATAAAAATTGAAAGATTAGAAGCCCTATTCTACGCAAAACAAATCAAAAAGATTTGATTATACATAGATTAGAAATTACACGATAGCACGATATAAATTTGAATCTTATATACCGCCATGCATGAATGAGACCATTGATCCAAATGACTCACTCTTCGTCAGGTTGGATGGTTTGTTGGAGTGTTAGAATTGAAAACAACATTGCATACCCCCCCCCCCCCACACACACACACACTCCCACTCACATATTTTTTTTGTAAATCAACACTTTTTATGAGAAAAGTGTCAGGTCGTATGCTTTATCCTTTAACGTCAGGTGATGGAGTGGGATGGGCATTCAAAGCGCGAGCTAATGATATAGGCATATGTGATATCACAATTAATGATATGAATGAATGAAATTGAATCACAATGTCATCGTATTAATTCATAATAAAAATTGACGTCAAACGGGGTGTTGGATTTCTCGTTTTAAAAAGCTCAGTGGGTATGTCTATACGCCAAAATGACGATAGAGACCTTATATTTCTCAAAAAATTTCAAGGTGTCCGTCTTCATTTGCCCATTTGGTACAGAAAAGTAAGACGATAAACCCCATTTCATTTTGATTTAATTTCGTCAAGAACATCACTATCTATAAAATTCTGTATCGCTTAATCCAACTTGAATAATATTTAGTGGGAAAAACCTATCATAATGAAAACATCAGAAATAGAAACTTCATTGCGATCCACATAAACAGACTCCAAATTTATGTCTTTGAACCATTGCAAGAAAATGTTTATCATTATATTAGTGATATTTTTGTTAAGGCAGTAATAGAATACAGATAACTGTATATAAATATTTAATATTGGCTTAAACTGTAAAAAAAATATCAAATGAAATTCTCCAAATTGAAATTATATTACAAATGACTTGGGTGAAAATTAAAATTGACTTGGGTGGAAATTAAAATTGGCTTGGGTGAAAATTATAAAAAATCAAATTAAATTACAAATGACTTGGGTGGAAATTAAAATTGACTTGGGTGAAATTATAAAAACAAATTATATTAAAATTGACTTGGGTGAAAATTATAAAAAAACAAATTATATTAAAATTGACTTGGGTGAAAATTATAAAAAACAAATTATATTAAAATTGACTTGGGTGAATAGGCTATTCAAAAAAACAAATTATATTATTTTTCACGTCCCTTATCAGCCACCGTAACAAACATTGTTTAGCTTATATTTTTTAAATAGTATTTGCCAACCATATTATTACGTTCGATATTGTTTTCATTTTTAGCACACCGTCCAACCATTCTACCAGACGAAAAGCGAGTCGTTTATCAACATAATGAATAATGGGCCCGACCAGGTCCGCAATCACCAAATGAGCACGCAGTGGCGACACCAAACGACTTCATAACGATGGTTGCTAGGCAGAAGTGTGAAAATTCTAAATTTGTTCGATGTTCATACTAAACCTAATAGGTGAAAGATACGCGGGTCGGTTGTAAAACCCAGTCAGCCACTAGATTAGGGACAGCAAATTAAAGTGTGATCAGACATACCGCACCGTCGAATGGACGCCTTACCCCACATGGCGAGTAGCCATAATCGCGCAGCGACACATTTCAAATTCCGGGAGTAGGCCTACTACTTTTCAGCGACAGCCCATACGGTAGGGAATGACGATATTTTTCCACGCCTTCAAAACGAGGACAGTAAGTTACTGATTATGAAAGAAGAGTTCAACCATTGACTAGAAAAATAGAATCAATCGGGTATGGGATGCATATTTCTGTTCACGATTTTCGTAATAGAATTCGAGTTACTCTGCTGCACACTGATGACGTCATTCGGCGTTTTACACGATCGATCTCATTGCTGGAGCCACCCCTACGCATGATAAATTAAAATTTGTTTGTATTTCTTGAAGTGAACATCGAAGTTTGTTCTAGTTATCTTCTGGGCCAGATTTTTGTTCCACCCATCGTTTCGTGTAACTTTACTTGCAATTTCACATTGCTAATACCATATCTCAAAAGACAAGAACGGCAACATTTAAAACTTTTCGGTTTCATACAAACTAAGCATGGCGTTATTCTTATAAACTATAATGATTACTTTATTCTCACAATCATTAATAACAAGAATTCAAAATGTGTTAATGGTCCAGTACAATAGATAATGGTATTCAATAGAGTTTCTGTATTATAGCAAATTGCAGCGATATCATTGGCTGATAAATCGGTCAGCATTTATTTGCCAGTTGTCATCACTGAATCCGCGAAAAAATAAAATACTAAATTAAGAAAATAATTTGGATATCTGTTTTGCAGGATTTTCGCGGGTTTGAGCTGGTTTCGGCGATTTAGATAATTTATTGAATTTCTAATAGTAGTTTTAGCCACAAAACCGATGGGTGAAACAAAAAGTAATAAAATCTGGCCCAGCTTCTGGCCTATAACTACCCTTGGGTTTCGGCTTTCAATTATCTAATTGGTCAAATATTACGTAATTAATTATGATGATTAGCTACTAAGCCTAATGACGTATATGGACGGTAGAAACTTTCCACCAGCTGGAGTGTTACCTTGTTTTCAATCCAGAAACAAATGTTTACTAAATTTAAGCTGTTTTTGTGTATAACCCTATCACTCATTTACCTTGAGTGCGTGAGATATGACTTCTCTACAATATAATGATATTATTAATTTAAGGAACAAAAGTTCTACCAATCTTCTTACACTTGTGCATAAGTGAGCCTTCTCAACCTAGTGGGTTTGCTCACCCAGGAAAATTCCCAGCGTATACTAAAATAAGACAACTTGTTTTCAATATCACCATCGGTGGAAGCGGACGTTGAACCATACGAACAATAACGTGTTCTATACGCCATGTCGCTATTAGTATGCTATTCTGTTCAGTGAAATTTTTTTTCTTTGGGGGGGGGGGGGGCGGCAACTTTTGTTTAAACTTACCTCATCTGTACGTAAATCCTCCTCAACAGCTTCTCCGTTTTCAGACATTACATACACAGGTACATTTGCTGAAACCGCGTGATTAACTAACAGATTTATATCCAATGTCTTATCTTGAAAATTCATTTTAAGAGGTAAAATATCAGGAAATTTACATTTTAGTAATAAATCCTCATGCTCGGGCAGCATCTTAATATTCCCAAAGTGTTCTGTAAAAAAGAAAGCAGTGGATATTGGTATTTTAAAGATGTATTATTATAACTATTTACTGCAGTTTACAGTTGTATAAATATAGAGGGATAGACTGTTCTCTACCTCCTGGGTCGAGAATAATTTGGAAAACTTACTGTTGAGTATATTCTGAAGTTTCCAGATAATGAACATCAAAACGAGGTAAATTCAAGACTAAAATGGCCCTAACCTAAGAAAATGGTCCTCAACGAAAAAAAAGTCTCCCAAACTAGAACCCCGGGTCCACCATACTCAATCCATCCATGTAAAACTAATATAATATCAATCCTGAGTATACAGCTATTGAATGATATAAAAATTGTTTGTATGGTGTAAGCTACGTTGCTTTCCTGTCCGTATTACACCACTTTGTCAAAATGTCAAACATGTACTGAGATACGACTTTAAAGAAAACTATTTCTAGTAAATTCAAAAACAAAAATAAAGTAGTATTACTTTCGGCTTTTCCATTTTGTATTCCAATTAGTAGAAAAAGTAAGCAAACGGTGGATACTAATCCTTCCATGACACAGCCACTTGACATGTTTATAACATGGCCTTGTTGACAAATAGTTTTTCTCTAGTGCCTTTTATTATTTAAACACCTTCTATACTAAGTATCAATAAACCGTATAAGAATAGAGGTATTGAATTTGTGTGACTATTATGGTTTCTATAGCTGTATTGAGCACAAATCGTATACGCTGTGACCGTTAATGAGATTGACATCGATAAACAAACAGTACAACAGGAATGTTGGCTTTAAAAATATAATAGTCGTTTAATTTTGGCTTAAACAGCAACTAGGTTAGACCTTTTTGAAAACTTGGAATTTGTAGACAAGCCATTGAATCACGTAGAAGTAAATTTTATTGGAGGATCAAAATGAATTTGTTGTAATAGAATACTACAACGGAACAATTATGCAGAATATGATGAATCATTATCATTCATAAAATAAAGTACATGAAATAACTGCTATCTACCTAAACTAAAGATATGTTGTCAGGCAACGAAACATACACCCGTATCAGCGACGCGGCACTTAGTTTCCTGTACTGATCAATGGCAACATGTCAATAAATCTGTTTTTGTTTTTTGATTGTTTGGGGTATGTTACTATGAATTATAGGATCGGTTCAGAATAAATTCTACAATGGAACCTGTAATTGCTGAAGAAAAACATATTTTATAAACTGTAGTCAATAACTACTGTACATTCTATGTATAATAAAGGGATTATAAGGATATAATTGTTTTGGTTTTTTATACGCCCTCATTAAAATATAGTCGTATATTGTCGTCGCCCCCGTCCGTCTGTCGGTACTCCGGTGTCCACAATTGCTTGTGGACGTTCTAGAGGCCAAAGTTAATATCTGATTGACTTTAAATTTATACACAGTGTTTAAGGTCTTGAGACGAAGAAGCCTATTGATTTTCAGCGATTTCTGATAATTATTGCCAGAGTTATGGCCCTAGATCACTTTTAAAAATCTAGTGGACGCTCTAGTGGATTTTCAGCGATTTCTGATAATTATTGCCAGAGTTATGGCCCTAGATCACTTTTAAAAATCTAGTGGACGCTCTAGAGGCCAAAGTTAATATCCGATTGACCTAAATTTATACACAGTGTTTACGGTCATGAGATGAGGAAGCCTATTGATTTTCAACGATTTCCGTTAATTACTGCCAAAGTTATGGCCCTTGATCCCTTTGTGATGCTCTAAAGGCTAAAATTATCATCCGATTGACTACAGATTGATACAGAGTTTAAGATCTTGAGACGAACAAGTATATTGATTTTCAATGAATTTTTATGTCTTGAAAAGCTAAATCCATGATATTAAAAGTTTTGTATACAAAAACAAATAAATTCTAATGGTTTTCTGAAATTACTTCATGAGTTGTTGCTCTTAATCAGATTTTAGTGTATTATAAATGTTTCATTACCGAAAAAAGTAAAAATATGCAACAACTCTTGTTGTTGTGGGCGTATGTTTCGTTGCCTGGCAACCTATCTTTTAAAATATGGTAATTTGGTGAAAATTCCTCTACTTAATAGTATGTAATATGTTGATTTATTTAAAGATGGATTCCAAGAATAGTATTTATCGGGTGGTTATTTCCAATAAAAGTATGGCAATTTTGGTATATATGGAAAGTAGAGATATCCAATCTTACTAGAAAAATACTGGATTCCCCGAAAAACACTCATGGAGCGTATACAGGACAAAAATGTAAGGGTTCCCCTAATCAACAGCCCGACGATTAAGAACTTCTGCACGCGTGATGTCAAAGGTCACAAGCGAACATTGAGTGCTTGATGTACAAGTAGATAAACATTATGAAGACTTAAACGTACAATGCTTTGAGATAAAAATGACGGAAAAAGACGCGGGTAGTGGATAATCCGAGAATTTAATTAGGATTCGATATTTGTAATAAATAGTAAGCGATTAAAGACAACATCGTCTTATGTATGCAATGAATTCTCCTCTGACTCCCAAGACATGACGTAAACATGACCTGGTTTGATCGAATTTTAATAGCAGGGCATTCCTTCGCAATTACAATGTTTGGGACGGATTTGAAGCATAATTATGACAAATTAATTAGTTTGAATATGTTTTTGGTCCATATACACCATTAAATCACCGAGTTTGTACGCGGGAACCCATCTTTAAAGCCTGGAGTGTCCATTCATAAGCAGCTATATTGTACACTTCGGGAAAAGGTCACATACCACACTCGTTCAAAAATGTGGCTCTTTGTGCCAATTCCTGCAAGTAACAAAAAATTATCAACTACATGTATAAAGCAAATAAACTTAGATTCTACATTAGTTGATTACCTTTATGGAAGATTTTCAACGATTTTTGTTCAATGTTACTTTTTCTACCCATGAGCTACTAATGGTTTTTAAAGCAATCCATGTTTCTTCTCAAGGTCATAAAGCCGTGATTGATTCTTTTGTTTTTCAGATTTCTTCTCACCCATACCCGGTATTTGGGTGGGTTCTGGCCATGCTATAGCCATACATGGAAACTTGTGGTTTGCCCCCATCTTCATGTCATCGACGCATGGAATTATACGGAGCACATCGTATGTGTTGATCTAATGGCTAGCAGTTGTGGGAACATTGAGAGAATAAAACGTCCAATTCGGCGATTAAACGACAGAAAAGAAAGTTGGCCGATTATAATCAAAGAGTTTACTTAGGCTTCGATATTTATGGTAACAACAACTACGACAAATACAAGCTAAAAATTGATTCTCCCTCAATCAAATCATGTGACACACAAGACTGCTTGAAATTGATTCTTGCGGCACGGGGTAGTCTTCTGGCGATTAATATGTTTTGAGAGGGATTTGAAGCTAACTTTGGATAGATTAATAATATTGCATGTTTTCGTCCAAATATATCATCAAATCTCACAATTTGTATGTGGGAAGGTATCTCTAAGATATGACTAACTTACCATATCAAATATTGAAATTGTGCTCCGTAATAGTGCCTGTAAGGTTTCGTCAAAACTAAACTTAAAATCGCAAAATAGGATCAACTTTTTATGATTTCAAATTGTCATACACGTCTCCTTGTAAACCATGGTTAATTATGTTTTCTGGGTTGCAATGCCAACATTCGCATAACCAATTATTGTAAAATATATTGTGGGTGTTTATTTTTTTCTTTGTGTCTATTTAATTCCTTTAATTCAAATTGATATAAATTACCGATATTCACATTCATACAGCATTCTAGGATAACATTTCATTTCTAGAACAATCACTCACTCGCTGTTAATGTAACTTTCCAATTTGAACGTTATGTAAAAGCTAACTTTGCCGTTAGCTGGGCGGCTTTTCTTATTACCATGTCAATCGTCCAACACGTTTTATGGCGATAACTTGGTGAAACTTTGTGTATAATTTCATTACATCAATACCTTGACTAAGTTCGATAATGAGCATTTTCTGCTGAGGGTAAGCAGAACGATAAGCAATTTGATTGGTCTAGACTTTGGAACACAATAACTGTCCTTCTAATTGAGCTAGAATGTTGACACTTGGTGTGGGCGTTGATGGGGTTCGATGATGAACATTGTCCGCTTACGGTAAGCAGAGATAAGCAATTTGATGATTGGTTGATGATTTTGGGCACGATAAACTTTAGATTTAATGAAGTGAAAGTGATGAAACTCCGAGTATAGATTCATTATATCATTACCTTGACTAAGTTCGATGATGAGAATTTTTGCTTAGACTAATGAGCGATAAGCAATTTGATTGGTCAAGTCTTTGGAATATAACAATTCTGCTTTGAAATGAGGTAGAATGTATAAACTTGATGTAGATGTTTATTAGTTGAATGTCTTGACTGAGTTCAATGATTAACATTTCGAGCTAAAGCTAAGCCATTTCATTGGTCGATGCGTTGAGACACGATAACATTGATTCTATCTGATAGACAGTGATGAAACTTAGTGTATAGTTGATAATCAGTTTGATTGCTTGATACTTTGGAAAAAAATAAATCTGCTATTAATTAATTGTGTCATCTATTATTTTGGGATTTCGGCGGGGGACATCAGCCTCACCGTTGGTTTGTTTTATCTATTACTAGCAGGATAACCGGATTCGCTCGGGGGTCATAACTCCGAAACCGGAAGTGGTAGACTAACGCCACCTGGCCTATGTTACTCCCCGGTCCGAGCTACCCCTATACCCCAAATTTCAGACTGGAGATAGTGTTGAACTAGAGAAGACGGCCAAATAGATTCTTATATACCTGGGTGCCGTATCAAGGATGTGCTAATTACTGACTTGTTTCCAAAGGGAGAAATTTGGGGATAGTCTATCATATACATCCTTAGATGTTATTGATACAAATGGCGCGAGTTCGTCCCAAAGCTTGTACGTGAAAATAGAGTGCAGACATCAGCTTAATCTCGTGGATATTCTCCGACTGCCATAGATCCGGCTGCGCAAGCGAATAATCGAAATATTATTATTTTTAAAACGGGCTTCGTGCAATAATTATGCCATATACAATAAATCTGAAAGTTAATGTATCGACGGGTGTCATTGCCTATACGGGGTTCTCTCTCTCGACAGTATGATTCGATTGACTTGAAATTTCAGTTGATTGGTTTTTGAGATGAAGATGATTACATTACTGACAACGATTTCCATTTTTGAATTTATATACTTTGTTAATATGTCCGACGTGGTTTCCCCTTGTCAGTGGTGCAGAACGGAGGGCCTGACAATGACAGCTGTCTAGTCCTTCGGATGAGACGAAAAACCGAGGTCCCGTGTATATATTGGAATGCACGTAAAAGATCCCCTGGCAGTTGGAATTCGATATAAGAGTAGGCGATAGTGCCCCGCTGCCCGGGCAAAATTTCCCTCATAGCACACTTTATGGCGTATGCCCGTCTTCATTGGCCCGGTATAGGAGCAGAACAGTAGGACGTTAAACCCCATTTCATTTCATTTCATTTTGTTAAATTATGCATTATGCAATGACACCCGTCGATACATTAACTTTCAGATTTATTGTATATGGCATAATTATTGCACGAAGCCCGTTTTAAAAATAATAATATTTCGATTATT